TGTGATCAGACCTTTCTAGTTAACGTATTTGGCTCCTGTGACAAATGTTTCAAACAACGAGCTCTGAGGCCAGTTTTCAAGAAATCTCAACAGCTCAGCTACTGTTCAATGTGTGCAGAAATTGTAAGTGCCACCTTTTAGAAATTTAAGTAGTTACCTGTTTTTAAAATGATGTCTAATGTTTGGGTCCTGTGACAGAGGAATTTACACACACACACACACACACACACACACACACACATGTACAGCACACATGGGCTCAGTGAGGCAGTACAGCATGGGAGTTCAGGGTGTGGACGCTGGTCTCTGACCTCCTGAGTTCAGATCCAAGTTGTGTTCTTTGGTGGTGGTGTGCCAGCAGATCTCTACTCTCTTAGGAGGTAGGTTTTCCTATATGTAAAATAGGAATAATAGCACTATCTCATAAGGATTTGTAAGAATCAAATTAGTTCATTTTATTAAGTATTTATGTTTTTTAAGTTTGTTTATTTTGAGAGAGAGGAAGAGGAAGGGAATCCCAAGCAGGCTCTGCAGTGTCAGTGTGGAGCCCAATGCAGGGCTCGAACCCACGAACCGTGAGATCATGACCTGAACCGAAGTCAGATGCTTAACCGACTGAGCCACCCAGGTGCCCCTGATAAAGTGTTTAAAACAGTAGTACCTGGCACAGGATGTGCTCAATGAATGTTTTGGCTATTATTATTTTTTAGGACTAATGTTTTTTGCTTCTGCTTTCTACTAGTCTGCTAGGCAAGCAACTAGGATAAAAGGGACTCTGGCAAATAAACAGCCTGGAAGTACCTCTCCAAAGACCTTGGTCCAGCTCTCCCTAGGAACAACTAACTCTATTGAAGACTGAACCCTATAAGGCCTCAGTAGTAAACAATATTAAGTTCAGGGAAAAGTGTTCCTTAGGCCTGAGACTTTAGTGAGGGCTGGGGACTGAATATAAATCCTGACATTTTTCAAAGAACACAAATCAATCCTCACTAGAGGTGACTATGAGTCAGCTTTGTTCAGATCTTGCAGCATAATGCCCATAGCATGGCTGAAGCCCTTGAAATTAATCCTATCTCAGAGGATTTGCAAAGCTGGGCTCAGTAATGTGGCTGAGCAGAGCCCCCACCTGGTCAAAGGTGGTAGAGCACTCTTCTCCAGAAGCCCAATAGGAAACCCCCCAATTATCAGCACATTTTAAACACCATGTATCAAAGAGAGGAGAGGGGAATTTTACATTTTATCCACCTGAAGAGGAAAAGACAGTATTGATCTTCTTGGTTCCATTTATGTTCTCATAAAGCAAATGGCAAGTAAACAGCCCAGAGTGACACACAGGCGTAACAATCCTGATGTCACAAGATTCAGGCTTAGTATAACAGGCTTCTACCTGAAGCACCTTGTGTTCTAAACTTAGCTCTGCAAATCGTCAAACCGAGGACATTCAGTTCTTAAAAGAGGCCTGCTTTCCGGCGGCCCTACCATCCTGGTACAGTGCTATTTGTGAATCTAGCTCTTTTGTTTTTTAAACACCTTCTTCTCTGGACACAAGGAGCCCAGAATCCCTGTCATCACATCCTGTAGCATCATAGATTCTCCCAGGTCGGAGGCACTTTTCAGGAAACGGTCACAGGCTATCTCCACCATAAGCACTTGCAGGTTCCCAATTATTCAGACACACTCCTGTGGCTGATGAGACATCCACGTGACCGACAGCTGATTTTTATCTGGGTGTTTGGGATTGTGAGCCCCCAGTTTCCCTTTTCACAAATGAGGCAACCCTGTAACTCCACTACTACTGAAAGGTAGCAGAACTCAACTTTTCTGCTCTCCAGACTCCTTACCTAGAAACAGGAGTGGAAACCAAAGTACAGGAAGGCACTTTGTAAACTTTCCCAGCTATTAAAAAGTTGCATGTCCTCATCTCTAGGTGGCAGACCCTCCAGATTGGGAGATACGTGGGGTTTAGTTTACAGAGAGAACGTCCAGAGGAGGACACGCTCCAGCGTGAAGCTCTGCTCACTCCAGATCACACACAGGCAGACCTTGAGCAGGCACACACAGCCCACGAGGGGCCACGAGGCACCAGCCTGAGGAAGTGATGGGAGGATGCTATCTGGCCAGGCCTTCTGAGGTGATCCTGGTGAGAAGTGTCTCCCATGGCCTAGTGTCTCATTCAAATTACTTCATATGAATTGCTCAAGTGTATCAGGGAGCCTTAATTTTGAGCAAGTACTATGTGTCATGGGATGCTCTACAGGGTTACCCAGGATGAGGCTTTTTGAGGAGGTGTTTTCCATTTATAGAGGAGGAGCCTGAGACCCAGAGAAGTTAAGTAAATCACCCAAGGCCACACAGCACAGCCAGGAGTTATCCTCAGGCAGTATGATCTTGATGGCACCCATGCTTTTACGCTTCTGCTCTACAAACTCTGAAGCAGATATAATAGTTTCACTTTCATAAATAGTTGTATATATCTATTAACACATTGATATTTTGTGTATTTGTTTTGTTTTTAATTATACAGTTTATATATTCTATTTTATATATCCACTTGATAAGCTAACATTAACTGAGCACCTACCATATACCATCTATTATGCTAAATACTGAGGATAAGTGATGAATAAACCTGTATCAATGGGGAGCTGGTAGTTAAAACACACCTGCTATGATGGCGGTGTCTGCTAAGAGGTTCACTCAAATTCTCATATTCAATTCTCACAACAGCCGAAGTAGATGTCCCAGATAAGGAAACCAAAGAGCCCAGAATCTAACCTCCTAGACAACCATGCTTAGATTAATATAGATTACTTCCAACTTTTTTTTAATGTTTATTCATTTTTGAGAGAAAGATACAGTGTGAGTGGGGGAGGAGCAGAGAGAGGGAGACACAGAATCTGAAGCAGGCTCCAGGCTCCGAGCTGTCAGCACAGATCCCAATGTGGGGCTCGAACTCACGAACCGTGAGGTCATGATCTGATCTGAAGTCAGATGCTCAACCGACTGAGCCACCCAGGCTACTTCCAACTTTCCTTCGATGAAGAGCCACCCAGGACAAGAAGTGGAAGGAGGGAAGGGTGAGCACAGACACCAAAATCCTGTTTGGGAATGTTTGCTCTAGAATTTGTAACCTCGATCTGCCTTCCCATTTTGCATGTATAAACACACACACACACACACACACACACACACACACACACACACACACACGCAAGGTCATGGAGGGGTAAAAGGGAGAAGCCATGGGTTGGGTCCTCCACACTGAAGTCTGGAGGCATGTAGCTGAATAGAGCCAGACTGCCTAGGTCCAAATCCTGCCTTTGCCTCTTTCTGGGAGTGTGACTCAAGCAAATCATTTAAACTTTCCGTCCCTCAACTTCCTCATTTGTAAAATGGGGAGAATAGTATCCATTCAGGGTGATTGTTGTGGTTTATTAACGTAAAGTACTTGGAACAGCGCCTCGCATTGCAGAGGACTGGGAAAAAGAGATGCTTGAGCCTGCCTTAAAGTCACTAAATCTGCATCTTTGAGAGACTCCTAGGAACCTTCCATTCTAAGGTGGAGGAAGCTGCCTCAGAAATGACACAGCTGAGATCACTGAGCGTATGTTCAAAAACGCTGGGTCTGGGCCCCTGAATACTAACCCCACCCCTGCCACCACCTCCTTTTGCTGACCCCAGGCCAGGCACTTAATTCTCTGCGTGAAAAAAAGAAAAGCAAAACCCAGAGTGTGCGGTCTTAATGGCGTACACTACAGCTTCTCAGAAGCCAAAACGAGTTTTATTTTTGTATATTTGAGTCAACGAAGGAGGAAAGTTTCCGGTTCGTTGTGGGGGCGGGTGGGGAACCAGGGCTACCCAGGATGAGGTGGGAATCAGAGGTGGGTGTGGACCGGGCCTCGTTGCCC